GATTGGTGATTCAAACAATGTTTAATGATAATGAGAATTTGTTCTTCCAATAACAAATTGTATTTGACTTAAGCACTGCGAATGTAAAAGGGTTGATACTATTAATGTGTTTCGCGTTCAACAATACTATTTCCTATGTGTGATATTATATATTGAATACATTACATGAATACATTACATGTAAATTTACATGTCGACGCAGAATGCTTTAATTTGTTTTGAACTTTCTCATTTCATCGACTATAGCTGTAAATGTGTTATAACGAATTTTATAACATTTACGTAATACAGACAGTTTGATGTCTATTACACTATGAATAGTGATTATTCATCGCATTTGAATTAAGATGCCGTGCATCTCAGTTAGCTTCGTACTAACTATCTGATTTACAATTTAAACGTCTATCACTTTGCTTAAGTGTATACTGCAATTTAATAAATTTTCAGGGAACAGAGCGATACTTAAATTGTTTTCAATGATGCGTTCATCTCATCATGTATATGTTGTTCCCTCATTGCGAATTCTATATGATCAATAATTTTCTCTGTGGTTCGATGAATTCTCGCTGTGGATAATTGTGTTCCGCAATTGTTTCATTTATTTGATGTATATCAAGTACCTCGGTGTTAGCGTTCAATCAATCATGGCATATGTTTCCACTTATTAATTGTGAATTTATAATGTTTGCATAGGAAGATTCGATTGTTTCTATATCTCTTCCATTATTCTATAAAGACTTTCATTCTTATTCATATGTGTTATAATCTTACTTCGAGATTTATTATGCATTGCGGATTTCTTTTTTTGATGATATCGGCAATTTTTAACTCAATTGCGACTTGATCGAACCACTGTTCAATAAAAGTTTTAATACGATTTAACGAAGTAGTAAATGCTTCTTAATTTTGTAAACTTTAATCAACATTCGTATACAAATTTTACAAGAAGTTAAGTCAATATTGTAACAGTTGTAACTGTAAACAATAAGTTAAATGCCGACTCAACTAAATGATTGCATTATGGTTTTAAATAATACTATTAGTATTATTATGATTTATTCAAATGCGACAAACTAAAACTATTGAAATTGCACTGTACCAAATTCAATACTTTGTACTGCTGTTAAAGTAATCTTACTTTATACGTCAAGCGTACAATTACTTGATTGTCATGTATGTATTGATAATTTTTTTCCTTATTGTGTACGGTCTCTTTACAATGTATATGTTCAAATACTAAAATGTATCATGTCTTTCAGGAAATGTGAGCTGTCAAGCTGCTAGTGTTCCTGAAGCAGAATGTGAAGAGCCTTGTGACAAGAGTGCAAGATGACCCGCTGTGCGTCATTGGTCTCTGACTCATAGTCACATAGCTTGCAGCATCTGGAACCGGAGCGAATCATTCTTTGCAAGTATTGTATTTGCTTTGAATTGCCTACGGTACTGTCATGATCTCGAAATACGGAGGATTGGTAAATGTGGTATGAACGTTGTACTTCATGTATGGTTACAATCTTGTTTAATCATGCCATTGCCAATTACATCATTGTCAGGCTATTGATTTTCCGATATTCGATTGCATCATTAATCTATTTGATTGCCAGTTCCACAAACGAACATATACAAACGAAATATAAATGTTCGTTTAATAAGACAGTAAGAGGAAAGTGGTACTTTAGTAACTTAAAGTTACTCATTATTCATTGAATTTCATATTGTAATATGATTCAATATTGTTGCAAATCAATATTGTAATATCAATCCTCTGATTCGATTCGTGTCGAAGTAAGAATAACTAATAAAGTCTACGGATTAAGTATGACCCGTTGAAAGTTTTTTCAGAATAAAGTTTTTTCTATAAAGAAACTATACAGTTTTTTTCAGAATAAAGAATGATTCACTCTGATTGCTTCTTTTCATTGTAATAGAGTTGATATAAAAATGTCTTTATATATTTGAATGTAGTAGGATGTTCTACTATAAAATTTTCTACTATATCATGAGTAACGCTAATATGTGTTATAGCCTCAATTGCGTTCACTGTAATCAATTGAGTAATCAATTGATGAGTTACAATTTCAAATGACTGGTTCAAATCACACATTTCTCTCCCTTCGATAGGTCGAGAACTGAATTTTTTTTATATGTGATTCTTTAATTGCAACGACGCGTGTACCTGCGTATACTGGCCAATGAATATTTAATGTTATTCGATCAATTATACGAACCAATACAGCTCAGGTTTATATGCAATGATTAGTAGACCAAAGCGAAATATTCCAAACTACGATAGTGGAGTCTCATACGAATTCCATTTGAAGAAACTCAGTTTACTGATTTATCAGTTGTGATTGCTAATTATTCTCTATTGTGTACTAATAATTCCAATATGTACTGTATGTGCGAGTGTGTACGGAAACTGTCCTACAGCGTACGTTATATTGATTGATTACATAATTGATCATGTTAAATAACAGTTCGACATTTCGCAATGTAATTGGAATATAATTCGATGTCTTGTTCCGACGGTAAGAGATGAGTTGTGTGATACTCGTTCAGTTTAGCATTCGTGCTTGCTTCAATGAAGTCATACTGTATTAAAGCGAGTAACTCCTTACCACTTCTCCTCGTAAACGTATTGGTATTATACCACTGACCCTGAGCGTCTTGTGTGAAGCTAGACAACGTAAGTTGCAAAAGGGGGAAAGGAACGACTTCCATATGAGTACCGATAGATGAGACAGCAATTAACTAATTGTACTACCAACGTACTGATAGAACCCTTGTATCTCATACAATCATGTTCGATGAGAAATCCGAGGTTTTCCCGAATAAGTCTCATCATTTTGTGCTAATTCATTTCCTTTTCAGCACTAACTTTAAGTAAATAACGATGTTACTTATTAATCTCATCATTAAAAAGGTACCGAAAATAATCGTATAACGTAGAATTGTGAATCGAATTTCATATGTTTTCTAATGTACCTGGGTTTCATTATTGCAAACCATCCTGCTGGATTATGATCTAATAAAATGACTGAAGTAGTATTTATAACGTAAATGAAAATCCTGCTGTCATGTCATTACTTCTAAATGAAATTGCGAAATCACAGGACGCAGTTCAGAGTAAACCTACGAATAGACTATTACATGGTTCTCTACAAATAGAAATCAATGAAACTGTATTTTCGTCTTGTCAAGTGACAACCTGTATTCTTGGGCGTATAAAGCCTGAAAACAGGCATTGAATTTCTATGTAATATTATGTTACTACTATGATGTCCATGTAAACTCTAGTACCGGAGCCAATGATTTTTTTAAGAATGTATTGTAACGGCAATTACATAACTTATATCATTTCCTTGCGATTACTGCGATTGCACTTTTAATAAATGTGTTATGATGAAAATTTATATATGCACTTTTTTAGATGTGTTATAAAGAATTCTGTGCATTGTATTGGAGTCTTTGCAATCATACGGTTCTTCAGGTTAATAATGCAAACGAGTTAATAAGAAGGTCACAGTATACGAACCGTAGTTAAAACCTAACAACTTTATTGTTGATGTATGTTTCAATAATTTGATTGGTGATTCAAACAATGTTTAATGATAATGAGAATTTGTTCTTCCAATAACAAATTGTATTTGACTTAAGCACTGCGAATGTAAAAGGGTTGATACTATTAATGTGTTTCGCGTTCAACAATACTATTTCCTATGTGTGATATTATATATTGAATACATTACATGAATACATTACATGTAAATTTACATGTCGACGCAGAATGCTTTAATTTGTTTTGAACTTTCTCATTTCATCGACTATAGCTGTAAATGTGTTATAACGAATTTTATAACATTTACGTAATACAGACAGTTTGATGTCTATTACACTATGAATAGTGATTATTCATCGCATTTGAATTAAGATGCCGTGCATCCCAGTTAGCTTCGTACTAACTATCTGATTTTCAATTTAAACGTCTATCACTTTGCTTAAGTGTATACTGCAATGTAATAAATTTTCAGGGAACAGAGCGATACTTAAATTGTTTTCAATGATGCGTTCATCTCATCATGTATATGTTGTTCCCTCATTGCGAATTCTATATGATCAATAATTTTCTCTGTGGTTCGATGAATTCTCGCTGTGGATAATTGTGTTCCGCAATTGTTTCATTTATTTGATGTATATCAAGTACCTCGGTGTTAGCGTTCAATCAATCATGGCATATGTTTCCACTTATTAATTGTGAATTTATAATGTTTGCATAGGAAGATTCGATTGTTTCTATATCTCTTCCATTATTCTATAAAGACTTTCATTCTTATTCATATGTGTTATAATCTTACTTCGAGATTTATTATGCATTGCGGATTTCTTTTTTTGATGATATCGGCAATTTTGAATAATGTCACTCAGCACAAACTGCACATACCTCACAGGCTCACTGGGACACCAGCCACCACTCTGCTCCTATCAGTAAAAACATATCATACCTACTGATCACTATTTGGAACCATGATTTTACAGTTTGATAACCACATTATGACTGCCAACTTAGTGCCAAGCCAGGCAAGCTGTTTCTATTGTGCTAGTTTGCTGTACCTGGAAGCGGAAGGTAAATATGTGGTTCAGTTTTGTTTACCAAGAAGATATTTCTATTGATGGCTGTTAGCTGATGACCTTAGCTTAGTTAGCTAATGGCAAGGCTATCAGCATTGATCATGATTGATGCTAGCTGAAGTTGCTGAACTTTAACCTGATCCTTGTTCCTAGATTGATACTAAGTAGGTAAATGAACTATATTAGGTATGTTCTATTCTTGGGATTCCACCTGCAAGTTGTAGTTGATTGGTGCTTCACAGCCAGCACACATCAGTTTAATTCAGTTGCAACTTTATTTATTAGTTTTTAAATATTTGACATTTTACCTGTTTAACAATTCATGTTTTTATTAAAGCAATAATGACTATATCATTTTTCAGCTTTTTCAATTAAATTTACATAGTTTGTTATTGAAATTGTATTATTTTTTGTATTTTGAGTTTGCTAAAACTCTTGAACATTATTCAAAGTTCTCATTTGTTTATAAAAAAACAAAAAATGATTAAAGTTTCATTAACTGTATTAGTTATATTTTTGATGTTTCTAATTTATGTATCTACACCAAGTACACTCATTTCGGAGCCTGTGGATGGTAGTGTAAATAGTACTAAACTAATCTCACATTTTTTGAAAGCTCTGCCTAAAAATAAAGTTAACAAAACGAAAGTTGGCTTACTTCGACATTTCATTGCCCCCATAAGAAACATTTTGCCTGCTAATGGCAAATTGGAAGATTGTGGGGAACCACTATTCCTCACTCCATTACTCAAACAAGGAAAAATAAAAGTAAGTTGCACAGGTTTTATAATACTACCATATTGTTTTTTTAAATGTTTTGACCCTTAATTTTTCAACAATCTTTGTTACTACTATGAATCACTTTAGCAATCCTAATGTTCATTATTCTGCCCTAATAGTAATATCAGGTACAATTTCTTAGACAGTTCTTATTTGCTTTCTAAATTTCTATGCACAATTATATATGTATATACCTATATAACTTATTTCTCTTGAGTCATCATTATCAGCCTGCCCTATAGCTGGCTTAGAAAAACAATGTTCTATGAAGTTTTTCAACCTGTTGAAGTTTGCTAGCAGAAATAAAAATGCAAATTTAATTACTCTGTAAAACTTGAATACAAATGAAGAAAAATCACATTGCTTATTGGTCTGATTTGGTAATGGAAAAATTACTCTATTAATGATCGTGGCAAAACTTATGAAATTGTTTTTGTGTGGAATGAACTGGGCCTATATACAATAACAAGTTCTTTTCAAAGTTGTGAAAAATTTTCAATGGAAAATTGACAACTATATTAACTGCAAATTCCATTTTATTACAACACTTCTTTTTAGCTACACTTCTTGTTGTGAGTTTGTCTGCAATAAATCTTATCAATATTTAGAACACTTTTAATTGTCCAATCAATCTGAAATTTTGCACACTTGTGTAAAGTCAGAGACTATGCTTGAATTAATTGGCAGAATAAATAATTTGAAAAATTAAATGATTTTTAATATTAAGAATAAATTGTATATTTTTTTAAATATTTAAAAACAAAATAAAATGCCTTGTGCATGTGTAACATTGGAGACAGTGGCCTCTTTAGAAGTTTTGTCTTTAAAAAGTAATTTTTAAATGCATATCATTTTAAAGAAAAGTCTTTGTGGTCAAGGAATCACTGTCTTTGTAGAAGTATGAATAGTTATATGGACTTCAAGTTTTTGTGTCATTAATGCATCTCATTTTTTCATTTACTTGACCTTTTATATCTCAGCAAAGCTATTTTGGATGGATGTGTGGTAAATTTGCCATGCGCAGTAGCTTAAGAAATTAAATATAAAAGCATTGATTGGCTATGATGATTCTTTGGCATTCATGATGTATGGAATTTTCTAGATGTTAAATATAATTACAATAATTTTTATTGGTCTTGAACATTCTAAATTTTTATAAACCTGTCATGCATAAATATTCAGCTAGGTCTTCATCCGGTAAAAACTCATTTTTTTTATCTCTAGTTACTTTGAACTGATTGTTTTATATTTGCTGTTGTATGTTTATATGATCAATATTCCTTCTTAGATGTAGTCTTGTATTATTTACTTTTTTATAATTAGATTCACAATGCAGATGTAATTTAGAAAAAAATATACATTTAGAAGTAGTGGTTTGACCCAATGACATGAGATACGTGATACATATTCTACAGTAGTAAGTATGTTCATTTTAATAGTTGAAAAAATTAAATGCTTGAGAGGTTTGTTTGGCAGATTCTAACCTATGTATTATTTTGAAAAATTGGTTAACCTCATAATGAAATTTTTTCAGGAAGCTCGCAACTTGAGCCGAGTTGAGCTACCAAATGACTCTGGTGCAACTCACAGCTTCTCAGGTTTCTTCAATGTTGATGAAGAAAATGGATCTGAGATGTTCTTCTGGTTTTTCCCAGCCAAGGTGATTGCTGATTTTATTTTGAATTACTTATTTTATCCAACTGAATTAACACAATATATATACATATACATCTTCAAGAATTCAAAAATTGGTGTATATTAAAAGTGTCTTCAAATTTGTATGGTCCTGTTTCAACCTTATCAAGTGTTAACTATGTAGACTCATCTGCCCATCACATGGTAGTGCAAATTGTAGGATTGCTAACAACCCTATGGAAATCACCAGCATTGAGACAATTTCTTCTCTTTGCTTTGGTGAATGTTTTTTCCTGTTATTTTGACTAATAACTTAGGATGGTAAGAATAATTAAAATAATAAAAAAAATCATTTATTCCTTTGCATAGGTAACATAATTTGCAAGTGTGATCTCTGTACAGATTACTCCTGAGGTGGCTCCATTGCTCATCTGGCTACAAGGAGGGCCTGGAGGGTCCTCTCTCTTCGGGTTATTTGCTGAAAATGGTCCATTTGGTGTTGATGCTAACATGCAGCTGGTGTACCGCAATTCTTCCTGGTCAAATACCCACAATTTACTCTACTTTGACAACCCTGTTGGCACTGGTTTGCTCATCTGGCTACAAGGAGGGCCTGGAGGGTCCTCTCTCTTTGGGTTATTTGCTGAAAATGGTCCATTTGGTGTTGATGCTAACATGCAGCTCGTGTACCGCAATTTTTCCTGGTCCAATACCCACAATTTACTCTACTTTGACAACCCTGTTGGCACTGGTGAGCTTCAGGAGTGTAGTTTGTGTTGCAGGTATGAGCAGCTAGCAACTCCACATTTTGATTACGTATTTTATCAATACCGGTACATGTTTACTTGAGGAAAGCATGATATTGATTGAAGACTGTAACTTGCCATTATCATCCGTTTTTTGATGAATTTGTTCTATTTATTCTAAGAAAATTAATTCACATGAGGTATAACCTGAAAGCCTATATATACCTATATTTGTATTTATATTTTAAAATCATTTTATATTTATATATAAAATGATAGAAACATTCAAAATGTTGTTAACGAAATAAAAATGTCCATCGGTAACCTGATTTTCGATTTGACAGTTCAAACTAAAAATATTGTTTGACATATTGAAAAAACTAATAAGAAAATTGCGAATAAAACAAATTCTCTGGTCTTCAATGAAACCCATATTTTAAAATGTATACCTATATGATAATATCAAGGACTACTACACACAGGACATGCATAGCCTATGTCCAGCCTCTGCTAGCAGAGGCGATCGCCTACACTATGAAAATGCTGGTGTTTGATATATGTTGTAGTTAAACTTCAAAATAATTTCATTTCATTGTATCCTAATTGCACAAAAATTGCTTGTAATTGGATATTATTTTCTTTCTTTCTGCAACTTTGATGATGAGTTAGGTATATACGGTATTCTTGTGCAGTTCTCGTTTATGCTATGATGCACATTTGAACTAAGTTAATTTTGTTGATGCAGGCTTCAGCTTCACCACTAAAGATGCTGGATATGCCACCAACGAGTCCGCCGTAGGGGAAGGCCTGTACTCTGCTCTGCTGCAGTTCCTCACTCTGTTTCCTGAACTCCGTCGCAACGAGCTGTATGTGAGCGGCGAGAGCTATGCAGGTAACTCTAGCAATTATGGGCTCAACTATCAAAAATAGGTTAGAATTTTTAACTTCATCACCCAATCACTGATGGTTTTCAAGCTAAACCCACCAATAACAGACGAGCAATCGATCGCTACGTGTACTGGAGACAATTGCGACAGTATGGACCCTATGGTGGAGTGAATCTCGTAGATTATTATTAATATTATTATTATGATTATTGGTGTCAACTTTGATTAGGCTACTATGTTAGCTTGTCGCCCATTTTTGACCACAAGGCGATCTTACCGATTTCGAGCAGAATTTTTCGCATCTAGTTGTGGTTTTCGAACCCCAAACTTGCTGCTCCAATCTTAGTAATCTTAACCACTCTGCTGGTTTCTCTGAAGGTTACCATTAGTAAAGTTTATTTATATTTAAATTTATAGAAAAAGCTTTATACTTTTTAGCTATCGCCTAATGACTTTTGTATGTGAATGAGAAAATGCATCTATTATTTTTGGTTTTACTAGTTAATTTATATGCTTGAAAATCATATTTTGAAATAAATCGCCAGGGAAGTACGTGCCAGCGCTGTCCTACACTATTCACAAGCACAACCCAAGTGCTGACGTGAAGATCAACTTCAAAGGCATGGCCATCGGTGATGGGTTGTGCGATCCTGTCACGATGCTGGACTACGGAGACTTCCTTTATGATGTTGGTTTGTTGGACGAAGTTCAGCGTGACCTCTTCCGGAAAAAGCAGGTTGAAATCAGGAGCTACATTGCCAAGGGCCTCTGGCAAAAGGCTTTCATAGTGAGTGACTTTCATCTACAATACTAACCATTTGACTTGAAGATATGGCCAGTCAGTAGGTACCAGTACATCTAAAATACTATATACTGAAAATACTACTTATATTAAAATACAATGAAAAATGTACATTTATTTAGACTGGAAAATTAATTTTAGGTACTACTATATTTTTGGCAATTAGTTGGATTAATTTTGGGTACCAGGAAAGTCGTTCCTTATTTTGTTATAGTTTTTTCTTAATTAAATAAAATCACTGATTTTTATGTCTCGCGCATCCTTTGCACCATTTTATGTAACATTTTGTGAGAAATGTTCTTTAAATCATTTATTTTCAATCCTAATAAAACCATTTCTCGAGAAAAAAATGATATATATTGGTCCGATTGCTTAAAAATAAATCCTCAACACAAAGGAAAGATTTGGAAACCCTTCTATTTATCAACTTCACTTCTTGTTTGTTTGCTACAAATCTTTTAATCTATATTTAACACACTTCTAATTGTCCAATCGTTTTGAAATTTTCCACACTTGCATAAAGTCGGAGACAATGCATTATATAATCAATTGGCAGAAGAAACAATTTTGAAAAAAAAATAGTTGAAAAAATTAAAATATGTATTTTTCAACATTTACCAATAAATTAAGAAATTCATTGTACTTGTGTAACATCAGAGACACTGGATTCTTCAGAAGTGTTGTTTTTAAAAAGTAATTTTTAAACGCATATTATTTCAGACTTTTGATGAATTGCTGAACGGTGACACCACCGACACCCCGTCAATTTTCACAAATGCCACCGGCCTGACTTTCTACTACAACTACCTCACGGAACGGGAGCCCGACGTGCGTACCCATGCCCTCTGCTTTTTTTCTCGGATTCTTACTACCCGAGAATCATTTCTTTTTGCTGTACATATAATAACTTACACTAAGCTCCCAAATGTGGAGGCTTACTTTGAAAATCTGTGGATGTTTCTGGTATGTTACAAAAATGAAAAAGTCGAGAAGCACCACCCGAAATTGAGGAAGCAACTTATTTTTATTGTCACGTATCAGATTTTAGTTTAGTTAACTATATGCATCCAGTAAATGTTTGGACTACTACGTTAGGACGTAAAATAATCCTTCTAAAACTAGAAATTGTTAGTAATTTTTGTGTATGTCTGTGTTGTGGCTTATTAAACAATAAGTTAGTTAGTTCAATGGGTATATTGGCTGGTGCATATAATTAATGAAGATTTCCGCTTGCAGGACATGAATTTCTTCGGAAAGTATATAAACGAAGCTGAAGTGCGGCGCGCCATCCATGTCGGGAAGCTTGCTTTCAACGACGGCAAGGCAGTGGAGCAGCATCTCATCAATGACGTCATGCAGAGTGTCAAGCCCTGGATCGAAGAGGTGAAATTCGTATAGGATTTCAATTTATTGCTTATTAATTTTCATTAGGATTTTGAGATTGAATCCTTTGTACAAATTCCCTAATAATTTATTCCTATTAAAACTGGTTCTCGTTATGTGTTAGATTAGATCTTATTTAAAAATTCGAAACATATTCAGTAAATCCTCGTGTGTGAAAAGATGAAACTCGAAGGGGTTTCCTTGTTTTTACTGTACCTAACAATTTGAGCAATATATGACAGTATTTATAATTGCATTAAAATTCAAAAAATATCCTTTTGTGTTTTAATATGATTACGTGTGACTTTCTATTACCTTTTATAACACACACACACAATCCTACTAGTATTTACCTTGAACCTACTCTGCATTTATTCAGTTTCACTTCTACGTTGTATTGCTCACGTTATAATTTGTTTCAGATCCTGAACCAGACGCAGTACCGAGTTATGATCTACAACGGACAACTCGATATCATCATTGCCTATCCTCTCACTCGGAACTTCGTGGAATCTCTAAAGTGGCGGGACTCGGACGCTTATCTCTCGGCTCCAAGACGTATCTGGAAGGTAATGTCATTCTTTAAAAATTAATAATTCATTCTAGTACTACAGTTATAAGCATGTATATACATGATCCGTGTATATCAACTTGTTATAAATCAAAATATTCTAATATTCCAGCTATAAACAATTTAAACATAAATGTAAATCAATAACCCTATTTCTTTTTCATAACGCCGCCCCGCTTGTCTTAATAATTCACCTCTTCCTTGCTGATTGTTCTTCTGACATTATTTCATCTCTTTAGTCGTTAGGATTGCAGTTCTTCCTTTACGTGCTGATGCAGTCTTTCACTTTGTCGAAGAACGACCATCCATGTGTATCGCAGCTGCAGATTGTTGTTCGTTTCCGCGAAAATAATTTTTTTTTTTGTAGTCCTGTTGTGGATTGACCTTTACTCTCTCATAAATAAGTTTTTCTCCATCTCTGTTGCGGGTAGTCCTTCACATCCTCAAAAACTACTTGCCTTCTATAGCTCTCTTGTGAATAGTCCTTCATTTAATCGAAAACGACTATCCTCCTTCAGGTTGACGGTGACGTAGCAGGTTACGTGAAAGAGACTCGCAACTTCGTGGAAGTTCTAGTTCGGGGAGCCGGCCATATGGTGCCGTACGACCAGCCTGCTCGTGCGTACGATATGATCAACAGGTTCACGGGGGCGGACGCGGGCAAGACGTCAAGCTCTTTCATGGACTAGTGCTGAACCCTCGGCAATGGAAGGCTCAAAATTAGTATAGCCTAGTTGTAATATTTTTTTTTTTATGGCCCTGAGTTTGTATCCCATTAGAGCAGTGCTGTATATAGGTGTTTATTAGGCGGTTCATTAAACATTCTTTTCTCAACGCTCGGTAACGAGTTGGAAGATGCTTCTTCATTTTAGTTATCGTTGAATTCCATCAGTTTTGGTCCCTCGTCTTCTATCACAAATGCTGCAGGCGACGTAAACTATTATTAATTTATTTTTAACAACCGCCTTGCAACTGAAACGGAGCTAAACAAAAGTGCATTAGTTCTATTCCTATTGGGAAATTTCTATTTATCTTCGTTCAGAATCGATGTTATGTTTAGCCAGAAGGAAGAAATTATGATAGTTATTGTAATTAAAATTGAACAATTCAAGACACTCATAATGGCGATGCATTTGTTGTTTTCAAATACCGATTTGGTCGTACATTTATGAGCGTGTCTGGACAACGCGTAATTCGGTCTCTAACGAGTATCGATCACATTATGGGCACTCTCATTCATCACTCCAGTAAAAGCATTTATACCATTTGCATTTAGCCAGTTAACAAATAGGCATTTGATCAAAGTAATATTACTATAGGGAACGAGTGCCAAGATAATTTAAATATGACTCGTTACTACGCTAAGCGAACTATGACAAACTATAATAAAGTATTTTTGTAATATTTTCTTGCTGGTTTGGTCAAGGAAAGAAATGTTAGTCACATAGCTTTTATTTATACACTGAGCATATCGTGCCGACGCAGTAGTTACTTCCCTGCGCGCTGCGCAGTATAATTAAGTGAATGTGCGAACATCGACGTTAATATACCAACCGTTGAGAAATTATGTATCCTCAAATTATAATTATGCAACACACTTCGTTTCGATTATAATTCAATTTTCCTTATAATTTCAAATTGTTAATCTGTAATAAAAATTGGGTAACTTCTTGTTCAGAATGATAATCAATGGTACGAAATTATTTCATCTTTAGCAAAAAAAACTGAATTCCACTCCATTTAAATGTCTGATAAAACAATGTGAAAAGCATAGTTCAAAACATTCAAGCTGGATAATAGAAATCCTTATTTTCAAATCATTATTTAGGAGACACAACATGAATGTTATTGAATACGTAGCTGCTCTATCGACGGCAATATGGCGAGCATAATAAGAAACAAGAGCATGGCGAGAAGAAGATCTAAGAGCCCAAGAAGGACTTAAGTGAACAATAACATGCAATGATGCGCATTATACTGAAAATCCTCAAATAATACCACGATGTATGGGTAAGCTCGCGACCAAAGCAGAACGAATTGAAGTTGATTAAAACTGAAAATCTAGCCCCACGACAATTTTTTGTCTCTTGTTTTTACTTATTCATCTCTGGACCAATTAAAGTTCCCACGAATATATTTTTGTACGTCCTAAACGAATATACTTACATATATTCCTCCAAGTATCGAAAAAATATCGGCAAAGTAAACGCAAATATTAAATGTGATCGCACAAGGTCGACAAGAGAACTAAGTATAAAGCCCTTGTTTACCACCTTGCAGAGGCTGCAACGATAATAATGTCACAGCGGGTTGCCCTCAATATGAGGAAGACTGACTAGTATTGAAGCTCACGCTGTGTTCTGAACTCTAAGCAGCCTAAGTGAAAGGCAATTAAATTGTATATTCTCTTAAAAATAATTATGCTTGGAACCTAACGCTAATGGTGAACTGTGCACAGCAAAAACTTGATAAGCGCATAAACAAAATTACACGTTCATTAGAACTTGCAAGTTAGGAAGAGTCGTGACACTAAACTTTGCAAATAACAGTGGATCTGTTAGAACCTTTTTGGTATTATCTGGGGTGGTAAGTTGCTGTTTATTAAATATAGATACTTTCTATTACCATCTGGAATAAATTATGCGTATTCTTTTCATCAGACACGTTCTCTTAATAGATTAAAGTAAAGAAGTCACTAACACACAAGTATCAGATAGGACAGTCATGATGAGAACAGAATTCGTGGACAAGCAATGCAGAAAGTGTGTAAAACGCAACCTTAAAAAAATTCTACGAATATTGGTAATGGCATTTATAATGGCAATTTTTGGTTTAAGGAACTTTCTACAGTAATAATTTGTTAAATTGGCTCGCGCCAATAATATTAATATCAAAGTTTATACTCGAGTATCAAAGCAGGACAAGTTTCACTTCTTTCGCTTAAACGGCTCCCTCTACGAGAAGCTTCATTCATAAAAAAATCTGTTGAGATTGCATATAGTGACACTTATCCTTCTTTATACAAAAAACATGCCGACGACATCACAAAAATCCAAGATTATATATATAGCACACAAGGTTTCTTACTAAATAACTGCTACTTGCACACATACGCTACTTACATTACATAGGTACTAACCGATGAGTAATGTACACGACAACGCTACAAAAATCCAACAAGAACACAAAATTAGAAGCAACTGAAATAGAGCGAAACACGCTCCATCATTCCAATAAAATAATATCAACCAAAAACAGCCGTGACAAAACTCGAAAACTTTCGTAAATTCCATGTAATTTAGGAGATGATATCTTTATAAATACGCGACTCACTAATTCACCAATTAAAAAATTAAATAAAGTCTAAAGCAAAAATTTTACGTGTTTGTTCATTTTTGTTAATTAAAAGGATAAGTTCTAACGGGACGACACCTAAGGGTTTTGCACAACAATCTAAACGTACAACACAAGTCCTACAGGAATAAGTCCTACAGAAACAAATACTACAGGAATCTTAACGGCAGTGACAGGCAAGCGTCAGTGTAGGACGCTCGAACGCAGGCTCAGGAAAAAGAGCCTGAATCAAGATGCATTTTTTAAGAATCGATAGTTGATCGACATTTAGTAGGCAGTCTGAGCAACAGAATATCATGAATAATACAGGTATTGGCCTCATCAGGGGTCAGACGCACGAGTCAGATAACAGTTGACGACGTCGTTGAAACCACAATCTTCATTTCGTTGAAACGAACCAAATATTCAGACAAATGAGATATAATTTCTTCTCTGTTATTAATGTACAATCTTTACGATCATTTCTTTATGATCCTTAATAAATTAAACCAATGTACGATTCAATAGCAAATACCATCTCTAATATTTAATGACAGATATCAAGGTTACGGAAACCTGGCCAAATTGAATTCACGTTGAGTATTTGAAAAACACTAAGGCTGTAATTGAAAATAAAAATAATAACGGACTGGTCGAGTTATTGCTTAAAGTTTTACTGGCAATCTGAAAACTTCCGTCTTTTGCAGTAGAAACTCGACGTTTCAGAATTAATACGTTACAATTTAATCTACAGCGGGGATATAATTACGGTTGGTCATTATGATTTACATCATGCTAGTTCTGAATTGTTGACTAAATGCATCGCGCATTCCGTTCCAAGGCATGATTATAATAATTAAAAAAATAGAAGCAAGATATCATAATCAGAACTTTTCAGTCTTTTGTCTATGATTTATTCTTAAATAAATAACGTACGTTGGCCAGCTCATCGACGAGCACCAAAGTGTTTCCGATTCAGGTAATTAAATAATCAATGACCAAGTAAGTAATCGGTCATGATTCAGCAGTTTGACATCCGTGGTGGCCATTGTAATGACGATTATCATATTTTAATTATCCGAGCATCACAAAGCAATATGTACTACACACAAGTGACCGTATGTATAGCTAAAGACTTACGCAACAGAGCTGCATAAACTAGGCCCTTCGAAATGCCCAACTTTCAAGAAAAAGCACCTGGAAATTCTAAGTAACGATTACTACGCCTAGCATGAACCTTTGGTTTACTTTCGAAGTGGACGTTAGCGAAAAGGAACTCTTCTCATGACACAACCTTATTCTCGAGGCTTTTCAAGCCCGAATCGTTGACTAGCTTATCAGTAATATGTTTCTTAAACAATGTTAACGATCGCAGCGTCATGCACCGGCAGCTTTTTGACGACGTAGAACTTATGCTTATCACCGTAAAGTCCACGCAGAACTGCGAAGTTTTCCACTAGCATATTGAAGGGCATAGTGACCAGGGCCCCAGCAATGCAGGCTAGCATACGCAGCCATCCGAGACGGTCAACTCTGAACGATTTGATGACGCCGAAGATGTACATGTAGATGTTAACGCCCCCCACAAAAGCTGCCACGTAATTAATAACTACAGGTACGGCCACGGGGTACACGGCCGTCAGGGACACCGATGCGATAGCGACCGGCATCGTCACCCATGAGTAAAGAGAGAGCGACATCAGCCACTTCGTTCGGATCTGCAAAAGTTAAAATTAAATAAGAAGCGTTTACGACTGACACAGATTTATTGTGAATCGCATGATTAAATTATACTGACTGAAATATATTCATTCAAATAGAGGAATCAGCGATCAACTGCTTGACACAAATACACGAAATACAAAGTGATGCATGAAATATTGCGAAGCAGACATATTCAACAAAACATTCCTATTCTTACGATTACTTATAAATATTCATAAATGGCACATTATCAAGTGAATAGGTGCAGAGCCTCACCGGAATGTGTCTACTGTGGACAACAAGTAGGAGGCCTTGAAGCCATCGTTTCCTCTGCTGCAGGAAGTCGTAAATAGTAAAAGGACTTTTCTCCCACATCTCGCCCTCAATAAAATCAAAAGAGTAGCCGTCTCTCTGCGCAATCATGGCAAAATAATTGTCTTCTGCCACGCTACCATCTGGGCCGTGATCGAAGGTGACACGCCTTTCTGCCTCCACCTGCGGAGGAAAGAAAAATAAATATACGACGCAAACGCTACCATCCTGTAAAAAAATACCTATAGTTTCAAAAGAGGCTGAATGTATTTAGGTTGGACCATGTCTGACCGGCAGAGGGTATAGATGTACGTGGCAACTACCTTGAATAAGCACACTAAAGCTTTCTTTCAGTTATCATCCGATCTCCTCAAAAATTATACTTTTCCTTGGACATTGATCAAGTACCGTTGATGCCACCAACACCACGTCTATGGAATTAAACCGAATTTTGAATACTTCCAAACAAACAGAAAAAGGATGAGAATTGCCTTTATTTGCTCATATACAAATATTGTGCTCAAATATCAAAATAAAACAAATATACAGGTTATATTTTAATTCACCATAAGCGAGTATCAAAACCGTTAACGTTGCGTGAACTGATCATAAAATGTAAAGAAAGGCTAAGTAATAATATGAATAAACTACCACGTAAGTAACAGGGAGGGGTGATACTTTGATGCAAATAATAAATAATTAATATGCAAACGACTATTGAAATGATAAAAATACATGAAATTCAGAACAAATTGATTAAGTAGACAAACCTGCGTTACGACATAGGAGCCTTTCCAGCCAAAAAGAGGCTTATGAAACATTTTGAGCTGGAAGCGCAGTTTGCCCATATCGTCAGCCACCCTGAAGCTGTCTGCTAAAGTCGTGAACCAGTTTTGGATTGATTCATTGGCGTAGGTAATGAGACCCTGCAAATAAAATAGTGGTTACAGTTTGCAATCTCACTCGGCTCTTTGATAAACAGTAATGGGCAGTATAAAGTCCACTTAACATCTTAACGACACATGGGGTTAATAAAATTAAAAAAAAATCAAAACTTGTCAACAGCCTATAAAAGGTTCAACAGCCGTTGAAAGGTTCAAGGTCTAACTACACCTACTGAAATGAATCAAGCTAGGGTGTGAAAAAATTATCCTAGTGACGTTTTCGAACGAATTATCTCACAGTCTACGAACAGCAATCTCTGACCTTCATTCTTGCACTAATTGTGCGTAAATTTTGACACACATTTTCGACACACAACATTCCCACTGCATTAATCACGTAATAAAAATACATACACGTGCGTTGGTCTCATAAAAGCACACATGCCTCGGTCTCATATAAATACATACACCTGTCCTAGTGATGTTTTCGAACGAATCATCTCACTGTCTGTGATCAACCTCTGACCTTCATTCGTGCACTAATTGTGCGTAAATTTTCGACACACAACCTTCCCACTGCATCAACCACCTTATAAAAATACATATATCTAGATGCCTTGGTCTCCTATAAAAGACACATGCCTTGTTCTCATAAAAACACATATGCCTTGGTCTCATGAAAACACACATGCCTTGGTCTCATAAAAACACACATGCCTTGGTCTCATAAAAACACACGTGCCTTGCTCTCAAAAAGAAACATGTTCGACATGTGACTGACCTGCCCGAACTGATGCTTGCCGTCGAGGACGAAGTTAAGGATGCCTCTCATGGCGGCCTCTGTAACGATGGTCTCCTCGTCGAGATGCACGATCCAGTCGGCGTCAGAGAGCACGTTGACGTCCTCCTCGAGGCAGTACTGCAGCGCCCGGGCTTTGAACAACGCACCGCTCTTGGTGCGGTAACTTGATGGCACCACCAACTGTGAACAGAAGAAAATATATTACGAGTCTATGTATATACATAAAACACAACACACAACTATAATTAATTTTACTGCAACGCGAGGGCTTTGTACAACGCGCCGCTCTAGGTGCGGTATGTCAAAGGCACCGCCATCACTGAAAATCTGACGATATACGAATCTTTATAAAATAAAGTATATTTTACAGCAAACGCATACCTGTCTAACTTGTTTTCCGCGAACGCAATAGACCTAGAAACTTTAAGATAACTATATTCGTAATTATTACGTATTTTCTCCATGAAACACATATGCTCGCCTAACTCTTGTTCTTCCTAAACACAATAACGTATTTCCTCCATCTAACACAGACCTGTCTAACCCTCTTGTTCTCAGGGAGATCAATCTTCTTATCAGTTACGATCTCGAAGAGGTAGTTCTCCATGCTAACTCGTTGGCAGGTATCCAGGTTACGGGCCAGGTTATTCTTGACGAGGTCCGGGTAGTCGCCTCGGGTCACAACCCGCAGACAGATGAAAGGGGCTAAGAGGGGAGACCCTTTCAATTTGGCCCGCCCCGGGAACGCGTTGAAGCAAGTCAGCCCCAGGAAATTGAATATTGACTGCGAAAGTAGGAATGAGTTGAAAGTGATATAATATTAAAACGACATTAGTGATAGAATATGATAAACGACGGTGATAGAATATTTGATGAAGAAGAAAAACGGTATCTTTAAAAAAATTAAAAAATAAAATGACAAAATAGCAATAAATAAATAAAAAGTACGTGCATGGACTAAGGTGACATTTAGATACTTAGAAAGATTCATGGCTTAATTCACGTTAATCAGTTCGATAGGATACTACAAATGGCATTGTAGTGGTAATTATAATTATTAACATAAGTAATAATATAATTTGATAACATAATAATATAATATATACCTATACCGTATTTATTAACAAATAATTATTAATGTTTGAATTTTGGCAGTTGATGGGTTTTGCCAGAAAAAATCGTAACGCAAAACGACAGTATTTGTTATAGTTTTACTAATGAGAGAAAGATGCGCTTGAATGTGATGGCCTGTCTCAGACATTTTACCTACCATTAAAGAAAACATTACCTCACAAAATTTAAACAAGTGACTTGTAGAAAAATGATCACACTTCATACAAATGCAAAACGCATCAAATACCAATATTTTGTTAGCATGATATATTTTTCAGCTTCGATTTCTACATACTAAAAATGTTCACGGTGATGGGAAGAAATATTTTACATCTAAAATGGTAAAAATTGCATAAAACTTTATTACTGACTATCGCCGTGACTTATAGATAAATATTTACTAATAAACCTGCAACATAGAAGTCACAATTTCATAACGACGATGCAAACGCACACAAGAATTACGAGTAAAGCAATTCCCGTTACCTGAGGTAAAGCAAGAATGGGCAAGAATCTGAGAAGCTGCAGCAGAAGCAACAGAGGCCGCGGTATGCCATCATTGACGCTGCTGGCAGGAGGGGGAGGGGGAGGAGGGTTGCCTTCTTTTTCTTGAGGATCCTTTGCGGCGTCCAATTTTGGGTCCGGGTCTTTATCAGCGAGAGGCTGGGGATCCGCGTTGGGTCTGATCAGGGCCCCTGTTTTTAGGGAGCTAGTATCGCCATTGAGGACAGTAGAGCTGACCGTGAAGATGATGATGATGGTGAGGAATATGGACACGTGAGCTGCGTGTTTGGCGGTATGTAGGCCTGGCTCACTCCACGCGTGCGATAGGAACGATAATCGGGTCGATAGAAAACCCATGATGCGCATCCTGAGGAAAAAAACAAAATCCCACTTAATACACATGACTTAGATATTAGTTACAGAAAACTATGATAATGAATAAAAATAAACTCTTACACGATTCTTAATAAATCTGAAAAACGTAGGTACACAGGTTGGCTAAACGGACATGTACAATACCAAAAACAAATGTATAACAAGGATTTTATTTGCCTTTGACAGTCTCCTTGCACCGCCGTACAACAATAGTTCACAAGACGTTCACCTCCATCATGGCCGTACATCCAAAAATGAATGAAGCCAAGTGAGCGAACTGATGAAAATAGCAGCTGCTCTTCATTCAGAGAATGTCCGCGAGACTAGATCGTCTCGTAAACTAGCTCTTGCTGAATTCTTTTAAAAGTAAACACAACAAACACGGCACACACCTATCCACACACGAGCAAAAACAACATGAATCGAGAAGCATTCTAGTTGATCAATTCTACGCGACATGATTGAGATTGATAGAACAATAAGCTAATCAGTCATGGACTAGTCTAGAATTTAAGCAATCTGACATGGATTAATCCATGACTAATATAATTATTTACGGACTAATTAATGACAAAGTAATCAGCCACGGTCTAATCAGTGAATAAGGTAAACATCAGCCGTATAGACCAATTTATGATGAAGCAATTAGTTATAAACTCGATGCTATAGTGCACTAGTTGAGCAATCACATACGTATAGGAAATTGACGTGATGTAAAGACGAGTCACCGCTCTGATGCAAGCTTTATTCGCACAGACCACCTGGCCGTAGTACGGACGATAGACTGCACAGCTGTGAGCTCAGCCGTGCTCACATATATATAGTTACATCGTTCGGGTTAATTCGTAATGAGAGTTCGGCTCTCGGTAGAGATTAGTAATCGATATGAGAGATTAGGAGTCGTCATGAGAGATTAGGAATCGACATGAGAGATTAGTAATCGACATGACTTTCGGAACAATAACGAAGTGAGTAATTATGTGATGGGAAATGGAGTTATAGGCATTATATATTACATGAATTTGAAACGACGGTTCTGAAATCAAGTTTGAATAAGATCGCCAATTAAGTAGAAATTTCGACAAAATAATCAGAAGGAATCAAAATTTCATCAGAACACGATTCACTTGTATATAGAACTTTACTTCATCAAGAGCTAGATCTTCAATAAAGGTTGTTTGAGGAGATGAACCGATACAAGTTTATTTCAATAGTGATACATCACGCATCACCAAATACGTAAAAACTGTTCAACCGCGGGGTACGTATTCGTCAGGTGAACTGTGCAGTCATGAGCCAATGCAGTCGAGAAAGCTTCATGGATAAATGGATCGGAATTTATACGTTTAAATAGGATATAGGTTTATTTGGTTTCCAACCAACCGAAGATAAGCAGAGTTTCATTGATTATAGCTGAAACTGCGTCTATTAGCTGGCGATGGCAACGCGTAATCTAAAAATTTACAAAATTCAGGAGGATAATATTGAGCTCGAAATTAAATTTTCAGTGGAGCTTGGAAGGAATGTTCAATTGCTGCACTTGTAATGAATAAATGAGCATTCATGCATCGCGAGCAGAGATAACAAACACTCAGAGAATGCAAATAGCGATGCAATTTTTGTGCTCTTGTAGGTCATCAGGACCCAGTTTGTCAAATGGCGTATTGGTGCTACTTTTGGAAATTGAGTCGCTATTTAGTCACTGTGACCCATTTCTTCCTGTGAGTACTAGCAATGAGCCGCTCACTGCTTTCTGGCTCTGCATTATTGGAGTTCTCTGTATATTGAAGTTCTCTGGTATTATTCAGAGAACTCCAATATCTAATAAGCGGCTGCTACTTTTTTGTGCTTTACTGCTATTTTATCGTACTTCACTGATACCTACATTACGTTCGCCATTGCTAATTTATCGTTATTAACTGCTAAATAAGGCAAGCGACTGCTACTTTAATTACGCGCTGGTACTTGACGTAACATTAGGAGGCTGTTACTTTATCGTACTTTCTGCTAGTATGTGGACACAGCTGCTATTTAATCGTGCTTTACAGCTACGTGATCACTAGCTACGGACATTTATCACTAGCAGGGTAAGAGACATGACTAAGAAAAAATTAATCGAGTGTTGGTACTGATAAACGAGTGCGAGGACGAGTCAGGGCTGTGCAGCACAATGGACTCGCCTGTTACCTAATCATGCATAATTTAACGGGCGGAACTGAACAAAGACACCCGCTCTACGGTGGACACCTACACTCGACAGTCGCCAGTAGGTCAGCCTCACTTCACTGTTGGACTCAAGCCACATCAATGATGGCGAGTCGATATCGATAAGACTTGAATGAAAAAGATAGAAATTATATGCATCAATGCACAAAATGAATGCATAAAATACTCGCACCATGGACCGCATACCAACGAAATGCGTTGTATGTGCATAGAGTATGGAAGCATTTTTTGAGACAACAGGAACGAAACAGAAGACATGCATGTTGCGGGAAATCACTCTATACCAAATATATTACGAGACGTTGAATAACGAAACTAATACGCGGAATAATTTAATTTAAACTTCCCAGGTAATCTCAATAAAAAAATTAGCTATTTCATTAACAAAGAGAAATCAAATAAGCAATAAATATCTAGAACAACGTAGATTGACGATCGATTTTGCTGGAACAACGTAAATTGACATTCGATTTGCTGGAACAAGGTAGATTAGTTCTAAGTACATTTCGTTGAAACTTAGTTATTAAAGGTTTCATTTCTTCATACGACGCTGATTGCGAGTAGTTTTCGCTGGAACGACGTTAATTACGAACTGGCTTTTCTTAAACGGCGTTGATTACCAGTCGAATTTGTTAGAACGACGTTGATTACAAGCTGATTTCGTTACAACGACGATAATTCATTGTTATGTCAACCAACGTCAGACGCCTGTATAGGTCGGACATGGATATCCCGACCATATTATTGCGACTTGAGCGAGAGAAAGACGCTAAGCTGTGATACACATTGCAGTGCGGCAACTAGAATTTTACTGAGTGAAGAGGCATAATCTAATAACACATGCGACTAACAACATTTGTTTTATTTTCAAACCTAGCACTTGTCAAATGTCATTTAGTGTCGTAAGCTTTTGTAAAATGTCTGGAAGAATGCGACACTATATCATATGAAATACTCTCGCTATACTGAAAACGCTTAACTCACAGCATCATTCAATATCGTATTCCTCTCACTCTCCTAGGCCTGTATACCGAACTGAAGAATGTTTCACACGCATCTTCATTGCATGCACTCCCATTACACTAACACACGAATAGACGCACGTCGTGTGCTTTCATCATCACTCACCACACGAACAGAAGCACGCTTCACTCTCACTGTCCACACGAACAGAAGCACGCTTCACTCTCACTGTCCACACGAACAGGAGCACGCTTCACTCTCACTGTCCACACAAACAGGAGCACGCTTCACTCTCACTGTTCACTCGAACAGCACGCTTCACTCTCACTGTCCACACGAACAGGAGCACGCTTCACCATCACTGTGGAGCCAGCACTCGACTAAGTGGCCCATGCACCACGCAAGTGTCAGAGTTTGGTTTAGCTACAATAGTGTACATTATACTGTACACTGTACAGATGGAGCGCACAATAGAGCTTAGCACGTAACACGATCGCTTAGCATTGTTGGTCACTAGATAATGAAGCCAGCAGGTCGAGCCACAAAGCTATATTATTCGCAGATAGATCGAATACGGCAATATCTATAGACATATTCCGAGTTAAAAACTCATTAGTTAGTATGCTCTCAGATATATTCTGAAGCAGTTATATCGAATAACATAATAGGTATAGTGTTAAAAAAAATTTGTTAGTATTTTTGCAGATATTCTTCTAAGCAGATGTATCGAATCCGACAATATCTCTAGATCGATATAGATACTAATTTGTTGTTAAATGTCGCGCTTTCGATAGAGTTACTGATGACAATTTCTATACCAGCATTATAAGGGAATCGAGGTGACAAGATATAGTTTTATTTAATTATTATACTATGATGAGTAGCATGAATACGTCCCCGAACGTGTAGCGTTCACTCGACCAACACTCCCACTCTTGAGATATAAAAGATGAGCTATAGGAAACCATCATGTGAGCAGTCAAAACACACGCAATGCAAGGAGGTGAAACAAATCGTCATTTAAAGTATAAATAGATAACGTGAAAGACATTCACTCGATATTATTGACCAGACGGCGAAGGTAATTACAGTTTGAGTGACTTGAAAATTGAATGAATATTTTCTACTTCTAATCTCGATGTTTCCAGCTGATAGTTCAGTTAGTCTATAAAGTATAAATTATGGTGCTTTAGTAACTCATCATTGATGTAATTTTGAATTTTTCACTCTTTTGTAATTTTTTGGTGAAAATTTATTTGATTGTGAACTGCAAGAATCTGTGGATGAGCACAGGCTGAGGTATTACAACGAACACCGGAGCAATAGGAAATTAATAATTTCAAAACTTATTTAAATTAATACATATATGCAAATGAGGTGGTTCCTTTTTATATAAGCGACTTGCGAGGGCATCAAATGCCCCACAAGAGAGAGCCATGTGCTGGGTTGAGCCTCATTTAGGCGTCAGCACTGAAAACTTTAAGGGTTTGATGCGGTATTTTTGTTATACGTTTGATATCTTCTAAAATATCCTCCGTTTGATGATCCATTTTTATTCTTTGTTTGATGATACTTCTTTATTTTTGATGATATCCCTTTAATCTCTGTGAGACGAGATCTCTTTATTTTCAGTTCGACAAGATCTTTTTAGTCTCAGGTGTAGACGTAACAACAATTTCAGACCCGAGCATCACGCTATACTGGGGCGTGGTCACCCATGACTAGCCTGACTGCGTGACTAACACCGAGCGCTTCATGACGCAACATTGAGTAACAGCGTTTCTCAATTAAATTTGCATCGTA